CCTTAGCCAGGTTTAATTTGGATTTGGATTTAGGAGCATGCTAGAGACACCTCAGAACAGAACAGAAGTTGCTGTCAAGGATGACCATAGGTTCCTGTGGGTGAGTCGCTGGAGCCTGTTAAAAAGCAGAGCTGCTGCACCTTCTGAAGATTCAATCAGTCAATACAGTTTTTCAGGATAACTGCAGTGTGTCACAAGGAATCACACTGGACATGTTTTTTGCTTTTCCTTTTTCTTGACAGTAAATCTAAGGCAGATGTTTTGCAGAGCGGGAGCATGTATGCACCCTGAGCACTTGCTGAGGGAAGGTGTAAGGTGGATTCGTAAATGAATCCACATGTGAGTGAGCAGCTGTCTCTAGGGATGGTTCATTGCAGCAGTATTTAGATCTTTAGATTTAGATGTCTGTATTTACCTGAGAGATGAATGAACAGAAATATTCTCCCTTACATATGCTGTTGTGTGGGATTTGGAATCACAGAAATATGCAACTAGAAATAAATAGTAACCCATAGAGTTGGTGGTATCAGATGTGTGGCAGTGTTGCAGCAGACAGATCCAACTTTCTGTCTCAGACAGATCCACAGATGCAGGATGTGGAAGTAGTATCTGGGAGATACTCAGAAGCTTTCTGGACATGATGCTGGGCAACTACTGGCTCTTGGTGGCCCTGCCTGAGCAGGAGGTTGGGCCAGGTGAACTCCAGAGGTCCCTTCCAACCCCAACTGATCTGTGATTCAGTAACAACCTTTAAAAAGCAAAGCATTAGAAAAATAGATTCTTAATGCTAGATCAGGTGTAGGTAATAAAGAGCTTGTTGCATCACCCAGGTGAGTTAGGCAGGGGAGTTTGTGACACTTTTTTGTTTCCTTTGGGACCTGTGGTAAGTTGTGCCATATACAATGACTATTTTGGATCCAGAGGAGCAGGGCACTGACTGCTTATGAGACAGTGGGGCTGGTGCCACGTTAACCCATGTGTTTCAACAGTCATGTGCTGCAGGTGGCATGCAGGGAGGTGACTTGTGGCTGTTGATGGCACTTAATCTGTGTTAATGGTACATCATAGTAATTTGTGATGTTTAAGTATCTCTTCATTGTACCTGCTGGGGATTCTGTGTGTGTTTATTCAAATGTGCACTTAGGTGTTTTAATGCAGATCCAATGAAATGGTGCCTGGGGGGGCTTTTACTCTGCAGATGTGGTCCGGCACAAAGAATGGCGGGGTTTTCTCCCCTGTGATTTTTATTTCCTCTAAGGTGTTGATTAGAGATCTTAGTAACAAACCAACTCCCTTACAACTGTCATCAGAGATTTTGAGTCTCTGCTCCTGTGCCTGCCTGAGGCTGGAGACCATCTGTCCCCCTGGTGTGGAGGGGTTAGCCAAGTCCCTATGCCCATCCCTGCGCCTGCCGTGCACTAATGATGCTGTTGAGTGGTGTTTCCAAACAGGAAGTCTAAAACCTATGACTTTCTATGAGTCTCATAGGTTTTCTGTCTGTATGACTGTATTGCCTTCAGCACAGTGGGAACAGGAAGCAAAACAAGTTTGGAATGTTTTCATGGCTGGTTTTAGCTGCCAGTCAGATGTGCAGTCACTGGGAAGGTGATTAACCCAGGCACCTCAGGTGCTGTTAGCTCCTTTCTGGGGCTGTGCAATCTCACTCTAGCTCCCCTGTCTCACTTTGCCCTGTATGTGTTTATTTTAAGTAGCATGACAATTTTCAGTCACACTTGTGAAGCTCCAGGCTTCACAAGGGGAGGGAGCAGAATGCAGGAGTTGCTCTCTTGCAGCAGGCTTGCTCTGAAAGCTGCTGTTTGCTTAGGCCAGCTGCCCTGAGTGTTTAAAAGCAACAGTCCATCTTCTTGGTGAATGATGGGTATATGCTTTTACTGGAGGAGTTTTAGGAGGGCAAAATACCTTCAAAGGAACTGCTGTATTTAATCTTCAGCAGCACCAAAAGGCAGAATCGTGAGGTACTTTTTGGGCTGTGTGCTGCAAAATAGAGACATTGGAAAGCTTGTACAGAAGTGAAAGCCTGAGACCATTAACAGTTGAGAATTTGGTAAGATCTTGAGAGAGAGAAAGCATAAGGCCATAAACATGATTTCATCTGATTTGAGGCATAATGCCAAAGCAGTTCTCAGTGTACCTCCTGGTGGGAGGGCACACAGCTCCCCTTAACTGGAACTGTCAAATATAATGGAAAATTGTATTGCAAGAGAGATTGACTATTGAATTGTAACCCCTAGTCTTATAAAAGCATTGATCATTATATATTTAATTTACCAGCATCTTTTCAGGACAGATTGACCATCATCTCAAATTCAATAATACGTCATCAGCATTTCCCAGGGACCCGGTTTGTGCTAAGTATTCCCTTTACAAAGCCTTGTCAATATGGACAAAATACTTAAATTATCTCAGTTCTGTTCCAGAACTGCACTTGTTCAGCCTTTTTCTTTTGAATTGGAAAGAACCCTTTTTGTTATTTCAGAATAATATCCACACAGTTGGTAATTACAAAGCAATTATCCCAACTTGGTTTATTCTGTTACTGCAGTTCTAGTTCATTTTCTACCACAGGTGTAAGGAGATAACCTGGGCAGATTTGCTGAAGTCAACTGACTTTAAAAGGGGGTGAAGAGAAATTCTACCAAATTTTTCTCTCACAAAACTTGTGTCATGAGAGCAAGAGTGTAATATTAGTGTAATTTATGGTAATTATCCATACACACACACTAATCAGACCAAACCTGGAGTAAATTAAGCTGATAGAAACTCTTTGCTGCAAAGTAGTGTTGAAGCCCCAGTAGTTCGATGACACTGATCTGTGCAGATTTCACCTGAGAGCCTCTGGGCTGCAGAAGAACTGGTGAGAAGTGATTGTTTGGTTCTGAGACACCAGGTGAGTCCCATGCTCACTCACCCTTACCACTGCCCAGAAAAAAATCAATTATGAAAAGAAAAAAAAAATTAAATCGTGGAAGTTTTGCATCAAAACTGTGAATCTTTCTGGTCTTTCTTTGTCTGCCATTAAATACTAAAATGTCCTTGCTCTGGAGGAGGTAGAGATTGTTAAGAATGGATTGAGAAGCCCTTGGTTCATAGGCAGTTAACAGTAATGCGATTGTCTTGGTGTACTGCACAGAGCTGTGTGCTGCTCTCGGGGGGGCGGCTGGTTGGCAGAGCTGCTCTGTGGGTGAGGCACAGACCAGCTGTGCCATGGGTGCTGGGTGATGCTCCCAGGCCAGCCATGGCCTGCACAGGCAGCGTCTTTGTGTTCGTCTGGGCCACAGGGAGAAATCTGGTCACCAACAGCCCTGGAAAAATCTTAATGAAATTACAAATTCCAAGAAGAGGTATCTTTACAAATGTGTATTACTTCCGAATGCATGTCCCTACATCTCAGAGACAGCACGTTCGCTGTGCAGTACTGATATCATGATAGTGTTGGTCCCGCTGATTAATATTAATTCTTAGCACCAATTTTCCATTGATCTATCCAGAGCTCCAGGGTTTCTACACCTAAACCCTCTTAAGAAAGCAGTTGATGTTTCAGGAGTCGCAACAGACCGAGATATTATATTCTATGGTTTCCAGCAGCTGAACTCCTTTAGAAAATGAATCAATTGCTTTCCCAGGTGTCTGGTTTTCCTGTTGATAGGAAACAGAGAACCTCAGGGTTATGGGAAGAAGCCTGGCTAAGTGTTGCAGCCGCCGAGGTTTTTTTGCATTAAATATGGAATGATGAATCATGAGAGAGGGTACGGTTAAGTGTAACAGCACTTTTGTTTCGTAAAGCGCATATTCACAAACACGGACACGGTTCTGCGACTGGGCAGTAGCGGTGGGTCAGCTGGCAGCTGTTCCAGCGGAACGAGCCGGGGAGCTGCCGGCTGGTCCCCGCCGAGCCGCGGGAGCGGAGCGTGCGGGCAGCAGTCGCGGCTGCTCACCAGCTCCGCGCCGGGACGGGGCCCGCGTTCGGTTTAAAACTGACTAACGGAGATTGCCGGTGGCTGCGGCTCCGGGCCGCGCGGCCCGGCCAGGCCTCCCCGCCGCGAGGGGCCGGGCGGGGCCGGCGGCGGGCGCGCAGCCATGCACGGGCGGCGGGCGGCCGGCGGGAGCCATGCACGGAGAGCGAGCGCTGCTGCCCCGCCGGGACAAGGTATGGCGGGGGCCCGGCGGGCGTTCCTCTGCCGGAGGACCCACCGTGGCCGCGACCCGGGGCTGGCCGGGATCGGAGCATGGTCGGCTCCAGGGAGGAATGCCTGGGTCAGGAGCCGCCGGTGCGACCGCACCTGCCTGCCCGGTCCTTCGCGGGTTCGCGGCGGGTACCTGGCGGATTGGATTCCGCTGAAACAGCCTGTAACCCTTTTTTTTTTTTTTTTCTTTTCCTCCATACATTGGGTTTGTCTTTTGAAACTCGCTATTTTCCTCCCACTCGGAGACACCTGCTCGCAGGGTTTGCCGCGGCAAGGCGTGCATTCGGGCTCCTCTCAGGCTCCATTTTTCTGTTAAAAGCACTGACCGTAGTAGATCGGTTGTAGGTTTCACTGTTGCTGCTGTTCAGACAGGTGAAGCACTAGGAATGATTCGGGTGTGCTGCGTTGTACAGTAAACCGTGTGGCTTCTGCTCTCAATTACCTTCTTGGTCTCTGCACTCTCTAGCTAGTTGAGCCCCTGCCTTTGTACTGATATCTTGGAGTGCTTGGTCTGCAAACTGGGGTGCCCTATTGCACATTTGCGCTTGTGTTTTGAATCGAGGTGATTAAGTGGAGTCAGGTATGAGAGATTTTGGTTTTTTTAAACTTTTGCTGGATCTCTGTAAAGTATGTGAAGCTCTCCTGATTGATACTGTCCTCTGGCCAGCTGAAAAAAGGTACATTTTTTCAGAATTATATCAGTTTGCCAAGTTGGTTGGCATAAAGAAGGAAAGCTTTTCTGTTGGTGAAGCTGCTGATTAGCACTCGTGTTTCTCTCTCTCTCTTTGTGCTTAGATTGAGCGATTGGAAGTCAGCAGCTTGGCGCAGACCTCCAGTGCCGTGGCCTCCAGCACTGATGGCAGCATCAACGCAGACTCTGTTGATGGGACCCCAGATCCGCAGCGGACAAAAGTGGCCATCACACACCTGCAGCAGAAGATACTGAAGCTGACAGAGCAGATCAAAATTGAGCAAACGGCCCGTGACGACAACGTGGCAGAGTACCTGAAACTGGCCAACAATGCAGACAAACAGCAGAGTGCTCGCATTAAGCAAGTGTTTGAGAAGAAAAATCAAAAGTCAGCCCAGACCATCTTACAGCTGCAGAAGAAATTGGAACATTACCATCGAAAGCTGCGAGAGATTGAACAGAATGGAATCCCTCGGCAACCAAAGGATGTCTTCAGGGATATGCATCAGGGTTTGAAAGACGTTGGAGCAAAAGTCACTGGCTTCAGTGAGGGAGTGGTAGACAGTGTAAAAGGTGGACTTTCCAGTTTCTCCCAGGCCACACATTCAGCAGCAGGAGCTGTGGTTTCCAAACCCCGGGAGATTGCCTCCCTCATAAGGAACAAGTTTGGGAGTGCAGACAACATTGCTAATCTGAAGGACTCCTTAGAAGAAGGCCAGGAAGATGGGACAGGTAGCAAGGCTCTAGGTGTTATTCAGAACTTTCAGTCAAGCCCAAAATATGGCAGTGAAGAGGACTGTTCCAGTGCCACATCAGGCTCGGTGGGAGCCAACAGTACAACAGGGGGCCCTGTGGGAGCTTCTAGCTCCAAAACAAACACTCTGGATATGCAGAGCTCAGGGTTTGATGCAATACTGCATGAGATTCAAGAAATTCGAGAGACACAGGCAAGACTGGAAGAGTCATTTGAGGACCTTAAGGTTCGCTACCAGAGGGATTACACGTTGATAATGCAGACCCTGCAGGAGGAGCGGTACAGGTAAGTGCTGTGGTACTTTGTTTGACAATCCAATGCTGTGATTGCAAAGCACCAGAGCTGGGGATGGTAGTGCTCAGCAGGCTGTTCCCAGCAGCCTGATTCAAGTGGATAGTTCTGAGGTCTTCTCAGGACTCTTCCCTCCCAGTTCTGCCTTTTATAAATATTGCTATCTTGCTGCTTACCTCTCTCTGTGTACAAGAAAAAGATTGCAAGGAAAAACGTTATTTCAGAGTGTTTTCAAGATAAAAACTTGAAGCTGAAGAGGTCTAATAAGGTGTCCCAAACCCACGAGTACATTGATGCAATTACTGTTATCAGACAGTGCTTTGCCCTGCAAAAAATCCTGAAAATGTTTGGATCAAAGCAAATGACAGGGAGCTAATGTGGACATGACTTGACCCTACCTTCTCCAACACTCAGATCCATATCTACCAGAGAAAGAAGCATTCCAGCTTTCTTCAGGTTCTCTAAAAAGACATGATCTTACCCATGTGCCAAAACTAAGATATCCCTTCCCTTCTCTGCTCAGTCCACAGTGGCAGCACTCAGGGAAATTAAGTTGAATTAAATGTCAGATACTGACAGTGCTCTTGCCATGGAGATTATGGGATGCTGGAAGCAGGTGACCCATGTTTCCGTCAGTCCTCCCCTTGCTGGAAGGAATGGAAAGGTGGAGCATTTGCTGCAGTACTGCTGATCCCTGATGAAGTCACAGGGGAGAGGTGACAGTGGCCTTCAGTAAGGCAGCCTGACCTGCTGCCCCCACCTCCCTGCTGAGGAAAGCTGCCCATGGAGAGGTGCTGAGGGAATACTTCCCTTTCCTTGCTGGGTGGGAGAGGCTCTCTGCAGACTGCCTTGTGCTGTCCCCCCACACGCGTGCTGGGAGCAAGGGCTTTACTCCAGGCTCTGAAGGGAAGAGTTACTAGCTGCTCTTCTGCAGGCATCCTGGACAGGATTCTTAAACTTTAAATAACAAATGCAAAGCCCAAGCCCTCGTTCTGGTGAAGGACAGCACGCTGTTGTCATGAGGTTCTTTGTGGCCTTCATTACTTTGCCAGGATGTGAAACACAACCTGAAAGGCACAGCAGAGCTGCTGGGGGTGTGTACAGGCTTGCTGAAGTGCCCTGTGCCACTTGCTGCACTGGTTTGTGCAGCGTAACATGGGAGTTGCCCTACAGCTCTTTAGACCTGCTTATGCCAAAACATTGGAAAAACTCTGGAAAAGGCTAACCTGCTAGGATCTGGTAGAGACAGCAGGTTCTCAGTGTGCTTTGCAGAGCTTGGGCAAACAAAGCCAGACCAACACTACTTTCTAATCCCGCTTTGCAATAATCAGCAGTTTGACTGAAACCAGCAGCCAGCACAGCAGCTTTGGTTCCTAGTGCCTCAGTGTCATCAAGTCATCCCAAAATGATGTGGAACTGGATCTTCTGCTCCTCAGCAGAGAGGTGCTGTTGTCTGTTGCTGTTGTCTGTTGCTGCAAAAAAAATTGTTTCACACATACAGCAGCAGCCATTCATGGTGGAATGCTAAATGCAAGCATGGCACAGCTGAAGGAGTGGCCTGAAAGTACAATAGCAGACCTTGGGGACTGATACGTGCTGTCAGCTAAGTGGGCTGGTTACTGCCCAACACGTCTGAGCAAGGTTCATGTAGGTCCCTTACTAGTGCATCATGAAGTCATACCTGTTATGTGCCATTAACCTTTGCAGAGCTCTCCCCTGAGGTCAGCCCAGACCCCAAGCTCTAACCGAGGCAGCCTGGAGTGAAAAGCAGGGAGAATCTGCATTTGGCTTATAAAAGCTTAAGATAGTAATTTAGACCTGTCATTTGGAATGTTGATGCAGATTAATTAAAGGTGTGACCTTTAAAGAGGACCAGTTGAACCACACTCAGTGCCCTTGTCTTTGTGGGTAACTGCATGATCAGCAAGATCTCATGGGTTAATCACGATTAGACGACTACAGGACTGTACAAATGTAGATTCTTGTTTTTATAGCTTCTGTATTTTGAACCGTCACAATGATAAAAGCTGACATCACCTGAGAAGTGGAAGGTGATGTGATATGTCCAAGGGCAGAGGGCACTGCTGCCTTGGCAGGGAGGGGTGGTGCCTGTTCCTCCAACTGGAACCCCTCTTGCTCCTCAGCTCTCTTCAGAAAAAAGCTAAAAGAAGGGAAAGGAAGTTGTGGTGTAATGCTGGTAGGCTGGGGATTCAGATTAATCATAACTGGCTTTAAAAGTTGTAAATATCTCCTAACTGTGCTCTGTTTATGGGAAGCTTTCAAAAACAAACACAGAGTTCAGTTGGAGCTTAAAAAAAAATGTTTTGGAGAGGTCTTTTTCTTGTCAGGTGACACTGTGTGTTTGCATTGTACCTGGAAGCTGGAACAAAGAACATGCCATGACATTTTCTCACCTGGTCTTAATCCATTTCCTCTTTCTTAAATCGTCTACTGTTTTGCAGGTTCTGATCTTTTTTCCCATTTGTGTTTGTGCAGTTTCTGTTTATCAGCCATGGCTTGCCTCACAGGTTTTCCATGACCTCCTTCATCTCCTCCCTCCCCTCTCCCTGCTTCCAAATCTTGTCTACCACTCCACGTGGCTGCCGGTTTGCTAACCCTAGTCTCTGAGGCAGGGACTCACCTGTCCAGTTGCTCCAGTTCTCCCGCCCTGGTGCAGGCCTGGCAGCACCACGGCGAGGCCAGGGTGGGCTGTGCTGCCCAGCACGTGCTGGCCCCGGAGCACTGCTCTGCTCTGCTGGGCTGAGCCGCTGAGGAAGGAAGAGTCTGACGGTACTTGGCCATCATTGTTTTCTTCTGCACCGGGAGCAGACGCTGAAATGGCTTGTTGCTAATCTCGTCATTGGAAGGTGGCAGTTGTTTACTGGTACAAGCAGGGACTTTCTGTGCTGTTGAGACTGAAATAAAGTTCCTGCTGAGTATTTTCATCTTGCTTGTCCCTTCAGGAACCTGTTTGTACATGGCAAAACCATAAGCTCACATATTTGGAGTGTGGCCAGTCTAAGGTTTTGGATTTCTTCCCAAGCCTGACAGCCTTGGAAAGGGCATTTAGGTCTCCCATGCTCCTGTCAGAAGAAAACCTTCAGCCGAAAGGGTAGTCACTGGTGCTTCCATTTGTCTGGGTTTAATGTAGTCTGATTGTCACACTTCAGTCTGTCCTCATGATGTGTTTTAAAATAGATCAAAGGAGCTAAACCCCTGGGGTCTGGGAGGGTTGGCAAGGCTGTTCTGGAGTGTGGCTGGGCAGTGGAGGCAGCGTATTGGTGTTCACCCAGGACAGCACCAAAACACCCCTGCAAAGCTGTCTGTCCTCCTTCCAGGGAGGCTCGGAGCTGGAAGTACAGGGAAGTGTGTGGGTGTCATGAGCAGCTCGTGCTCCCTGTCAGGAGCAAGCTCTGTCCTTCGTGTATCCTTCTAGGTAGAGGACTTGGAGCATACTACAAATAACTTCTGGTTTTAGCTGTTTACTCGCTATTGGAAGCAGTGTGTTCAGTAGCATAAAGATGTACTTAGTGACAAATAAAGATTACATGAAGGTTTGTATGACATAGCTATAAAAAGAAAAAGGTCCATCTTGAGAGACATCTGAAGACAGGTACTAAACTCATTTACTGTCTACTGCAGACATCTTTGTAGCATTAGTTTGATCAGTTTCTTTACTCACCATAGCACTGAGTGCAGATCAAATGTCTTTTTTTATCACATCCCTCCCTTCCATATGCTGTGTTAGCTGTGCATTTTGCAACTATTACTTTAAAATGCCTTAAAGCTTTTTAAAAAAATGAGATGGTCATAATTGTGTTTCTGAGCCTTTTTCAGACCACTTTCCCAGTTCCCGCGCAGTGAGCATCAGAAAACGTGGAAATACAACATGGCTATTTGAAATGCAGTGTTCCCATATCCCACACTTGAGCCAAGCACCCCAGCTATTTACTGTGTCCGCAGGAACAGCTCTGATGATCTCTGTGATACTTGTGACAGGCAGCATTGGTCTGCTGCACAGAGATGTTTCTGGGCTGGAGTTTGTTCTTTTAAGGAGGAATTTCACACTTTAAATAGTAACAAAATAGTTCTTGAGGCATTTTCCGTACATGAAGTGAAGTGGGATTTGATTATTCAGGGTGCTGCTACATTCACAGACAAGTTCAGTGTGTTCAATAGACCCTGGCACTCATGAATTAGAGGCATGTATTTCATCTTAACCCTCCTGACAGGCAGCCTATCCCTTTTATTTGTGTAATACTCCCACTTAAATGCAAACCAGCTTTCAATAGGGAAACTGTGGTTCTGGGCCCCGTAAGTCACATAAACCCCTCCTTGCTTTTTAAATTTGAACACCAGTAGAAAGCAGCCGGAAAAAATTAATTTTCTAAATTGTAAATATTGGGACAAGAAGTGAAAAGAAGCTGAATGGAGGATGTGTCATTTAAAAAATAAGTCAGGGTAGGTTAGTGGGGGCAGGGATGTGGTTTTTTTTAATAACCCAGTTCTAGCAGTTGCCTGACACAGTGAGTTCTGGAAGTGCAGGTGATTCTTGGATGCAAACTGCAGCAGTTCTGGGGTTGAGCAGGGAGTGAAGTGTGGATTGGGAATGAGCTGGTTGTTCTGCAGTCTTCAGGGCAGGAAGATTGGAGCCAACCCTTCTGCTAATCATGTTCTGTTTAAACTCTTAACTATACAGATTAGCAGGGTTTCCTTATGTTTCCTGTAGATTGAGGTAGTTTTGAAGTAATTAAAATACAATTGTTTCCTGTTAGAGAACAGGATTTAAGCTGCTTGGCAACTGCTGCTTTATGAAAGGTGCTTATTTGAGAGGAGGTTAAAAAATACAATCATGCTATTTTCAGAAATGCTTAAGTTTCTTTTTCTCTAATAAACACACTGGTGAATTTTGTAATATAATAACAAACTGAATATATTTCAAGCAATTAATGCTGCCTTTGGGGCTTGGAGTGGGTTTAGTTGTGATTTTTTGGTTGTTTGCAAGTTGTTGTCAGTTTTAAGTTGTGTGGGAACAAAGGACTCCTTCTTCATTATTTTTAATTATCTGGGCTCCTTCTTCATTAGCTGGTCTTCACATGGCCATTCCCTTGTTAGCCCTGGGAAATCAGTTCTCTGGTGTGTCCCGGCACAGTTGCACAGCTCTTCTGGCACCTTTCTGGGCTCAGCCATGTCAGCTGGCCGTTGTCTTGGTTTCACTGCTGGTTGACCACATGTGTTTTACTGCTGCAGATTGTCATGCTGTGTCTGACTCCTCCTTAGTTTAAAGTAATATTGCACTGGGAACATGAACGAAAATTCTTTTCATACTTGTCTATTAAAAACAAAACCCTAAGACTGTTTTTAAAGGCTAGCTTTTGACTGCAGATTCTAAAAAACAAAAAAAATCTTGAAAAAAAAAAAAGAAGCAGGATTTGTGTCTTAGTTTCGGAACTTGCAATTAAATTCTTCATTCTAGAGAAATATTGAAATATTTCTTATTCATCTTGTTAGGGTTTTTTTGGGTTTTTTTTTTTTTTTTTTTGGTCAGGAATTAAATTCAGTGGAGTCAGAAGAAAACCAAAATTTAAACAAGGAATTATCTCTGTGGTTAATTCCTTAGAAATGTCTTGGTTATTAGTATCAAGATTCAGATGGTAAGGACTGTGTGGTAAGCTTTTTCCATCTGCTACAATGAGTAGACAGTGGAAAAAGCCCAATGGCCACCACAGCTGTGCCCATACCTTTGTTACCATCAGAGCTACCATTTCAGTTAATTTATAACTCTCTTAGTGAGAAGCAAAATCTTATCTCTTGGAATTGTTATCACTCAGTTTGTTTAAGCAACCCTCTTCCTCAGGACTGCTCCTGGTCCATTCACCAGGAGCAAACTGAAAAATAAGCCTGCAGGTTAGTGATTCATGTGTCCTTACAAATAATGTGATGGTATTTGTTTGTTAAATTGCATCATTCATGGGAGATAAAGGAAAAGCAAATCAAAGATCCATGTGACCTCATGCAGAGATCAGACAGTAGCAGCATGTTCTCTGAGGCATCAGTCACATGTAATTTCCATGTAATTTTTATGCCCATTACTGTTCCAAGTGTAGATAAAAATGCTTAGGAGTTTATGGTTTTAGAAGGGAACTGTTTGGTTTACACAGAAGTTTGGTGAATACTTCATTCTATTCTTATTCTGTCCTCAATTTCTTGAGAATTTTGTTCATCACTCAACGGTTACCATTTAATTGTGTGTTTTCTCCAGGTTAGGAACAGTATCACAGTGTTTATCAGGTAGAAAGAACTAATTCCCAGCAAGGAGGCATTAGTGCTAGAGTGTGCTGTGTGCTGACTGAGGCAGCCATGCTGGTTTCAGTACACAGGCCGTGGTGTTCATTGCTTGCTTGTCACTGGTGTCATTTTGCCATCCTCTTCTCATTAAAGCCATTGTACCATGTGTTGTCATTTCTAGATGTGAAAGACTTGAAGAGCAGTTAAATGACCTGACTGAGCTCCACCAGAACGAGATCCTCAATTTAAAACAGGAACTGGCCAGCATGGAGGAAAAGATTGCCTATCAGTCTTACGAGCGAGCCCGGGACATCCAGGTGGGTGACAGAAGCAAGGACCCAAGTCCTGCCCTTTGCCTGTTCTTTCAGGAACTCATTCACTTTTGAAGTATGCCTGCGCTTCAATATTTGATTTTAATCCTTGTAGCTTTATTGCTAAACTGCTGCATTCCAAAAGGTCCTTTTTCCATCTCTGACCTGTGGGTATCTCTCCAGGTAGCCTCCTCCGTAAATCAGGGCTGTGTCCCACACAGAGGGAACCTGCTGCTCAGCTGGAGCAGAGCAGGAGCCAGAGCCCACTTTCTGTGCAGACTTTTGTATTAGACACCCAATGGGCCATGACCCAAACACTTCTTTTACAGTAGTGTTCCCAGTACACGTCCCTGGGGCGTGGTTGTGTCACTGATTTTACAGCAGTGGTCACATACATCTAAGAAAAAATGGCTTTGTGTGTGCACTGCATTGAGTCAGGAAACAATTCTTTCTGTTGGCTTTGAAGAACTAAAGAGGTGTTTCTAAAAGAAAAGTTTCTTTTAGTATGTAAAAAAGGCAATGAAACAGAGGTCTTGCAGTTCGAGGCCCTTCTACAAAGCAAAGCAGCTGCTGACCCTTACAGAGAAAGGCCTGTTCAGAAACAAGTCTCTTAAATACTTGTTGTGGTAGTTTTAACAGGTATCTCAGTTCTGATTGCTGGTGGGAGGTATTTGTAGTGTGAGCAGGGAGTTGTAGGTTAAGAGTTCTCCCTTTTTCCTGCCGACGGACTTCAGCCAGGTGAGCTCCTCTGAAGGCCAAGCAGGCTATGCTGTTCACACACCAGCTGCAACTCTGGTTGTCAAACGTTCTTCCTGGTCACTGCTGGGGCAGCTGAGCAATTCTGCCCTGTGCTTTCAGGGGTCTTAACCAAGTAGAGGCCCTCATGTTTCATTGACCCCCCACAGACATGATGCAGTGAGAAATGTAACAGGTGACAATGACCTTTAAGTTAAAGTTAATCAGTGTCTGTGGACAGTGGTACAATGGCCCCTGGCAGTGTAAATAGGAGGCTCTCCTTTGGGGAGTGTTACAACAGTGGGCTTTTGTTTTCCTCTCTAAATTCAGATGGCAGGAAGATTGAATTGAAGTGGGGATTTCTCAACAGCTTTTTTTTAATCTTCATTGTATAATTCAGTGCTTTTAGTGTAAACTTAAAAGTTGGGACAGCCTATTTCTCAGCTGAGGAAGAGGGAAGTGTTTTATTGTATGAAAAACTATTTAAGAGCAAGGGCTACTGTTGCAGAGGAACAGTACTGGTTCCTTTTTTGGTGATCAGTCTGGGAAGGACTGCTGCAGACTTGTATATCATATTTGAAGTTGGCCTATGTGTCTGGAAAAGGTGACTCTGAGGGAAGATTAGTGGAAATACTGTAACTTGGTATCTTCAAGAGCAGAAGTCTCTCTTGGTGTTAATTGCCTGAAAACCTCTCTCCTTCTCCCTAGCCCCCTGCGTTGCAGGTCAGCAGTGTTTTAGTGCAGGTTGGCTTGGTCCAGCTGGGGTTCAGCTTGGTGAAAAGGTCTGACAAATCCCCCCTGAGTCAGTGGGGCTTTAAAGAGGTGGATTTGTGCAGGGTAGTCTTCTCCTTCCACCTCCTTTCATTTTGCCTCTTCCTGTAGGCAGTTCCATAAATCTCATGCTTCTTTCACTTCTGGATGTCTTTCCCCAGTCCTCGCAGTCAGCTGGAGCTGTGCCCGTGCCACAGCTTGCTGCAGGCTGGAGAAGATGTCCTTCCTGCAATGGCAGCTGTGCAGTCCCAGCCCTAGTGCCCCTCAGACCTTTCTCTGAGCTCACAGCTCACTAAGCAAGCGGAACACAGCTGAGCCTTGGGTAGTTATTTTTGTTGATGTAGTTTTCTGCGAGGTTGCCTAGTTTTCTGAAAAGGGGTCAGATAAGCATGAGTGACTCTAAGGAAGGTGATGGAAGTTGAGGTTCTGGGAATGCACATCCCAGAAGATGAAGATTTCTGGCTAGGTACAGCACCTCTGTCCTCTGAATGGCCTCTTGGAAGCAAAGCTGAGGTGACCAGGTGGCTGGGTAGCCCCCTTCTGGCAGAAGCTGTGGGGTTTCCCAGCCTGGCATCTCCATGTCAAGCCTTCTGGGTGTGGATGAGGCACCGTGGTGTGTTGTAGGCTGCAGTGCCCAGTCAGCAAGGGGCTTCTCACCTCGGATATGGGAAATGGCACTGCTTCCTCTGCTCCCACTGCAGGGCAGGAGCTCAGTGCATGAGCAGTGTGAGGTATGGGGATGGTCCTAACCTGGCCTGGTTGGTGAGGTAACAGCTGTGAACTTGAGTAACCCAGAATGTGCTCTTGCCCACAGGAGGCACTGGAAGCATGCCAGACGCGCATCTCCAAGATGGAGCTGCAGCAGCAGCAGCAGCAAGTGGTGCAGTTGGAGGGGCTGGAGAATGCCACGGCCAGGAACCTGCTGGGGAAGTTCATCAACATCTTGCTGGCTGTCATGGCTGTCCTCCTCGTCTTTGTCTCCACTGTGGCCAACTGCGTTGTGCCCCTGATGAAGACTCGCAATAGGACGTTCAGCACTTTATTTATAGTGGTTTTCATTGCCTTTTTGTGGAAGCACTGGGATGCCATCACCGGCTACTTGGAACGATTCTTGTCTCCTCCCAGATGATGGTGGCAGGAATGGGCTGCGCCGCTCCCTCCTGGCGCTTTTGGTGAGCAAGTGTGGCAAAGATTAGTCAGCGACTACTCTGCTGAAATTTTAAAGTGTCCGAGTGAATTTGTTTACATTTAGAATAACGTTTTTTCTCTGCAAGATGCATTGCAATAGTATTTTTTAGATTTTATTCAAGAACTCTTTTGGCAAGAATCCTGGATAATTTTTATGTAGCATGGTTCTCTTTGGATGCAAATCTTAAGATTCTTTAAAGTGTACAAAAGAAAAGAATAAAATACAGAAATTTGGAGCATACCAATGGGCAATTTAAATTGTGGCTTGAACTACTGTACTAAACCTGTCAGGAAGAAGAGAACGTGGTTAGCTTAAGACGAGCAAAGCTCAATCTAGTGCACAGCCTTGAATGATGGTACCACAGCAAACCTGTAACACTAAACTTTTACTGTGAAGTCTGCTCACATTCCATGTCCGAGTGTATGCGTTGAGTGGTTTCTTTCCTTAACAAGAGAAAAACAACGTGCGGATCCCTCTCCCAGCTCAGCATCTGAGTTCGCCGTTTGTGTTAACCTGACTTCAGTAACTTTCTGTAAGGCTGGCTAACTTGGCTGAGTATATGGAGTGGAAGCCTCATGCCATACACAGTAACTGCACAGTTGTGCTACCGTATTTTGAAGTAGTCCTTGAAATACTTATACTCTTTAAGCAGAAGCCCTTGGTCGCACTTTTAAGGTTTTTTTTTAATATATGTATATTCACAGATTTAAAAAAAAATCCAAACAGCATACTTGAAGAGTGTAATACTCAAACTCTCAGTGCTTCCTTATTGTTTCTAATAGGATTTTTTATTATTATTATAATTATAATTATTATTATTATTATTGGGGGGTTTTTTTGAAGGGGTTGGGAGGGTCATTACTTTTTTTTCTTTCAAATAAAGAAGTGATGTTTTTAAATGAAGAAATGCGTGAATAATTGTGAGCTGTCTTGTCCTGAAGCAGTTCTGAGGAGGGCAGAGAGTAGTTTCTAGTGTCAGCCTGTCAAATGCAGCACTGTCCATATGCCATTTGTTTGTCCTCCTGAGCTTAAAGATGCAGCATCATGGAAAACATCTGTCTTCTCCACACCTTTTTGTCATGCTGGGCTTTTTTTTCTTTTTCCACATCTGAAGGATGGTATATTTGTATTTTTTGTTTGCATGTCATCTCTCATTCCTGGCCTCAGGATAAGAGTAAGGAATTTCTGTTCATCTCTTCCTAGGGAAAAGACAGGTTCTTTTGAGGAAAGAAATACTGACTCAACAGTTCACTTAACAGAATGGTTGTCTCAAAAACAGTTCTAATTAAAAAGAAAAAAAAAACCAAACCCTGAAAAGTGAAACCAAAGTTTTCCTCCTTCAGGCTCTGGTAAGATTATTCTTGTGTCTGTATCTGTGGTGTGCCATCCTCTTTTTCAGCCACAGGGGCCAGCACTTGGTGCAGACACCTTTGCAAATCTTGAAAGGAAATGTCAGCTTCAAATGTAACCCCAAGTCCTCACAATGTGCCATTGCTGGTGACCTGTTGGTACAGGCAGGCAGCCCTCAAGTCCAAGGAATCTGTGTTCATTCTGTGCTGATTTTTAATTGCTGTCCCTTTCACCATAACAGTGCCAAGATTCATCTTTTGTCTTCATGAAATGTAAAAAAAACCCTCCAGGATTCTGTCACAACCATTTATGGTGTTTAGTTAGGTCTTACTGTTTTCCTTCTTTCCAGGATCAACTTCCCTCTAGGAATCAGATGTTGCCCAAGTGACCTAAACCAGCTGAAATCATACATGGGCATGTCTGAGATGTGCAACATATATATATATACACACATACATGGGCATTGTGCTATGATGCAGATTCTGGGTTCTGAAAAATTCCCTCAAACAAGGTTAATACATTGAGTGTTTCCTGATTGCCAGCAAAGGCAAGCCCTCCACTGTCCAACCATCTTCCTTTCCAAGGGTTCTTTTTTCTGTAGTCACAGGAAACTCAGGTGCCCTTCCCCCAGGGATCCCAGTACACCTCTCTGTCACCATGTGCACTAATCTGCTCCTGTCCTAATTAAAACAAAGATTGCCATTTACAGCTGACTCAAGCCAAACCTGCTTGTGCTTTCTGCAGTGCCACAGCCAGAGCAGAGGTGTGTGGCCATTCCCTCCCTTGCTCCTGGCTCCAGTAAGGCTCTTCTCTAGTGACTCACATTTCTTGGCTAACTATCATCTTCCCATTATGCAGGTTTTGTCAGAAACAAATGTGTGAATAACAGTAAGAACTGATTTGGCACATAACTGAAATACTTTGTTGCCTTTTTTTCTGAAACCTGGCCTTTGTACATCTTTTTCTCAGTCTTCTTCAAACTAGAATTGCTTAAGGTAGGTTTTTATGTGGTCAAATCAGGAAGGAGTTAAAAGCCAGTGGCTCTGGATACTCAGTGTCTGTAGTATTTAAGGAAGTGTTTGTCCCTCTTCTTTATGTCCTAATTTCATTTATTTTCTCAACTGTCATATTCAGTAAATACCATTTGCTAGCTTGCCAGAAGGTGCAGGCTTAATAGAAACTGACATCTCAGAACTCTTTGGTGAAGGCCATATACATATGGGTCTGGACAAAGTGTCTGTCTCTTTCTCTCTCAACAGTTTCTTCCATTCCAGAAAGTTGCAGTAGCGTCATGTATGATGCTGCATCCGCTTCTCATATCCTAACACAACTGCCATGTGTTTTGCCTTTTGCACTAGCAGAACATTTTGGGGTTTTCCTCCCTCTTCAATTTGAAAGTCTGTGATGATTTCTGATAGCTTAATGATGATGTTGTTGGAAATGTGATTCTAGCTTTAAAGCTCCCTTTCCTTGTACATGGTTGTGTTTGCTTTCCTGATGGAGTGTTTCTGGATGACACGTAGAGGACAGTTTCTGCTGTGGATGTGAGTGTGTGTGTGAGTACCTTTAATAGCCTCCTTTGTAGATAAAAACTTTTTAGTGACCATCTCTGAGTTGCAGAATGTTTCCCAAAACATTTCATATTCGGAGTTAAAGTGATTCAGAAATTGTTTAGATGTGTTTAGCACATACTGCCTTGGCACATAAAAAGGGAAAAATATAATGGACTGTGTAAGTTCCAAGAGCAGCACCTCCTCATTAACATTCGAGGGTTCAAGTGACGTTCATCTGTTTCCCCCATTTCCTTCAATATAAAGAAGAAAGAAAATCTTGATGCAAAAAAAAAATTTCTTCTAAAACTTTTATAAAGTTCTTTTTTCTCTCAGCCTCATTAGTTTAGTTCAAGGATACTCAGCATGCTCCCAGCAGCTACTCCAATCCTATGTGTGCTTAGGTGGGATCAGATGAACTGCTGACTTAGGTGCATGTTACAGGAAAGCACTGTCTGTCAGCTGTGAAAATACGCATTTTTTAAATTAAAAAAAGAAAAGGCATTATAACAAAAAAAGCCAAGCTACAAAGGGTTCACGATTGAGTAGTTTTGCCAGTTTTTAAATGAATTCTGAAAGTGGCTAAAGAGTTACCCTGTGTGTCTGTGTTGTGTATGCCAGGTGGTATAGTCGTAGGCAATTGACTTAGCTGTAAGTGTGTTTTAAAAGTGGTAAAAAAAAATAAACAGAAAAACTCACTTGCACGGGTTGAAAAGTACAGAAATGACACTTGTGAACGTAACACTGTAGTTTATAGATCTTAAGCTGCTAATTGTTGAGAGAGATTTACATTTGTCTTGTCTGATTGTCGCAGATTTATCTGTGGCACTTTTACTGTATATAAAAAACTTTAAATAAAGACCTCAGCTATTAACACTGGTCTAGTTTGGATCTTTGCAGAGGGGTGGGGGCAGGGGAAGGGAGGTGCTGTCATGGAGAAGAAGAAGGGTGTGTCAAAACTGCTGAGCCCTGAGAGCTTAAAATGTGAGCAAGTGTTCCATAGCTCTGATTGTCAGACTTTATCCTCCACTCAGCCAGCCACACACCACTAGGGCACAATGAAAATAAGCTGGTGTCGGTGTCTGGTCTTTGCAGGTAGAGGAAAGGAGCAGCAGCATTGCATTCATCCTCATTGGTCCTTTCCAGCCCCCTTGTGCCTGGGACAGCCTCTGGCAGGGTCCCTGCAGCCACACTGTGACTCAGTTTGCAGGTTGGTTCAGTCAGACTTACCTAAGAAGTGTCTGTCTTGGAAGGACCAGAAATTGGTCCTGTATTTTTCCACCACTGGTCTGTGGCCTGCCCTGTCCTGGATGAGAACGGCCCTTGCTTCTGTGGACTTTGTCCTTAAGGGATTTCAGGGCCCACTCTGTGTGACATGCGTATTTAGAGTAGGGTGCAATTGTAGCATCATCGATGTGTCTTGGGGAGCTTGTGATGGAGCAGTTCCAGGCCTGGCTCAGTTTGGATGAGGAAGGCTGCAGCTGGCAGGACAGCACTCCTTAGCAGAAAGCTCCCTCTCCCTGAGCAGAGGCAAGAGACTGCACCATGTTGGTTGAGCCACTGCTGTAAACGAGGTATTTTGGCTACCGTGTTTCATAGAAGAATTTCTGAATCCTTTGTTATATATACAAACTGAAAGCGAGCAGATTGCTCACTGGTGTGGAGAAGATACTTGTTCCTCTTGGGTTTTGGTCATGTGATATCAGGAACAAAGGACCAAGAAGGGAATGGAAACAATATTTTAAGGAGAAAGGTACTGAGTCCTTTTCTCTGTTTTCACAGAGATGCAAGTACTGTAAAACCAGCAAGAGATCAAAAAGCAAAAGCAGCTGTTTGCAGGATTTTTCTCCCTGTAATCTCCTCACAACCAGAATGCAAATTCCAGCAGTTTATGGATGAAGCAAGTGCATGGCGCTGCTTTTGCTAGAGCTGTCTGGCTCAGGATGGGACATGGCTGGGAGGGTAAATGGTTCTGCATTCTTCTGGGCGGTCACCTGCGAGGTGCTGGCTGTGGCTCAGGACCAGCCGGGAACCATGATGACCAAAGGTGAAAGCACTGGCCTTCTACTCCCATGTCAACAGATTTAATCTGATAATACAGGGGATTAGGTGGTGTTACTCAGCTTTTTGGTTAGTCTGTGGGAAGTGGTTTGATAGCTCCACCCAGGTCCTGGGGAACAAACAGGGATATGGCAAGGGTACAGCCATGCTGGGTTGCAGCAGTGGAGGTGAGGAATTGGCTCAAGTTTCTCACTGGAGCAGTCATTCTCCCCGGCCAAATAACATCACTTTGATGTGCTAATAGTGGAAATTTTTGCAAACAGCCAGCTCCCTACCACAAAATGCCTGTCTTCAAGTTGTTTCTTAAACGCCAAATCAACTGGTGTTTAAGTGTTGGTCAGTGGTTCATCAGCCTCAGTGGATCCTCCCTCACTGGCTGGAGTTAGAAATAGGAAGAGGGTTCTTTGCTGCCTGAGTTAGCGTGAAATAGAATATCCCAGGGCAAACCAGCTCTGCTGAGTGGCTCGTACTCCAGCCAGATTCCCTCTGAAATTAGGAATAAGAGTCACCTTGTATGTGTTCTCGGCCTTTGTACCAGCCTTGTGCCAACCCTGGCCAAAGGGGAAAAAATAAGTAATATTGTCTGAGGAGAAAGGCCAGAGCAGGATGGGAAGATGCAGTGTGTTTTCAGCCCTCCTCCTCAGTGCAGCTGTTCCTGTAGCCCTGCCTGCTTTCAGCTGATACTCTCCTTGCCTTACAACCAAGTGGTCTGAAGGCATTCAAAAGTTCCTCCACTACACATAAAAGTGTTTTCAGATTGGGGTCATTTATCAGACCTCTGTTGCAACAGCCTGGGGACACCTCTGGCTCCAAATAATTGTTTGAAGAACACCTTTACGCCTAATCCTCATTGTGATCTCTACGGAGGAGGATGCCTGAGAGCCTGTCTGGCCAGAAGACAGAAGCAGATGAGTGTGACACCACATTGAGCTATCTGGTCAGTCAGCTCCTCAATTCCACCTGATTCTGGCACTACTGACACATCTGCATATCACCGACGTGCTTCCCCAGTCCCTGAGGGTGAACAGGAGCTCTGGGCCAAGCCAGCTCCAGTTCCTGCTCAGCTCTGCTGAACATGTCCCTGAACGGGATGGTGCTGACACAGATGAGCACAGCTGAGGGGGAGGCAGCTGCTTGGTTTGCTCTGGGAAGGAGCTGTGACCAGAAAGCACGGCTCGTCCTTGTCTCAGGCACACCCTGAGAACTAAATTGGATAGTTTACAAATATCCCATCCTGCTTACCTGGGCAAAGGATCCTGAAAAGAGAATGGGGATTGTATGAGGAAGCAGGTGACGTTTCACTGATGGAGCACTCCTCAGCAGAAAACATCTTCAAGGAAGCAACATCCCTTGACCCTCCTGATTGTTGTCTCACAAATCTTGAAGCAGTTGTGGCCCTTGGCACAGGTAAAATAGCCCTGTCCCACACTGCTCAAGAACTTGGGCTATGTTCCTCCAAAAATGTTTCTTTGAAAGATCGTTTGCTTTTTTCAGATCAGCTCTCCACCTCCATTGGGCATATCGGCATTTCCCTCCACCTTTGGAAACAGACTGGCAGATAGGTATCAGCTGGCATTCTATCTGTCCCGTCCACTGCTTTCCCAGCTGGCAAAGGCCGGTTGTTGCTGGGAGCGGCCAGACTGGCCCAGGCAGGGCCGAGCCTTCGCTACCCGAGTGCCCAGAGGACCCGGGAGCCTGGGCCGGCGGCTCCCGGCCTGCGGGGGGAGGCAGGCAAAGCCCGCCCCTCTGAACCGCGGGAAGACCCGCCGGAGCAGCAAGGAAGGAGCGGGACCGTCCGCACAGCACTGGGGCGCTGCTGCCGCGAAGTTATAGGGGCGGGATGTGGAGCGGCTGACGGGAGCCCCTCTGCTCTCGGAGTTAGCGGAGCGGCCCTGACGGCTCCGAGCCGCGCGCCCCGCCGCGCCCTGAGGGGGCTCGCGACCCCTCGGCTCTGGCGCCGCCTGGCGGCGGTGCCTGGCACTGCGCGCGCGCGCCGCCCGCGGTCTCAGGCGACCCCTGGCGGCCAGGCGGGGCAGCGCGGCTGGAGCGCCGTGCCCCGCGGCCCGGGCTGGCTCGGACACCGGCACCGGCAGCGGGCACCCGGCACGGCTCAGCCCGCCCGCCTGCAGGCGCTGCCGGAGCGCCCCAGCCCTGCGCCGAGTGCTCGGTCGGTGCTGCCGCATCCCGGAGCAGCGCGGGGAGACCCGGACCTGCTCGGTCATACAAACACCTCGCCGAGGCTATCCCGGGCTCCGGGGCTTCCCGCACGTACAAACGGCTTTGCCATGCGAATGTCCCGGCCGCTCCACCGCCGGGCCACGGGCAGCAGCTGCAGCAGCGCAGCAAAGTCCCTGCGCTGGTTCTGTTGGGCGGGACCCTCTCCCCCATGGTTCAGCATCACTGCAGCGGTAACTCGGTGGTTGTTGCTGCTCGGATGCTGTCCTGTATCGTGCTGGCTCACCTCCCTGCTCAGGCTGTGCAGGTCCTCTCCCGATCCTGCACAGAGCAGCCAGGCCTGCTCTCGTCTCTGTTGTCCACGTGGAAAGGGAATACGCAGACACAGGCTGCAGATCTGCAATGCCTCGTTGCTCCCTGCTCTGAAAGGAGCCATTCCGAGGTGTAATTGTTCAAGGGACGTGCTCGATGGCTCTCAAACCAGCAGTCACATAAGGCTGAATGCTCTGCTTCTGTTGTTAAGCATGGCTGGGTCTGTGATTACAGTGAAAATCAGTCATTTGTCTGATCTGGACCTTTCCTCTCTTCTCCTCAAAGTGGGGCCGGAGTCTACAAAGATTTGCTGCCAAGCTCCTCCCTGCTTCATCCACTGCAGCTCTGCTGGGCACTCAGACCTCATCTCCTGCTGCTGCCTGTCCTGTTCCCATTCCCGTTGTCATGTCTTTGCTCCCAGTTCTGGCTCTAGAGGCTGGGTGTCTCCTCTGGCTCCCAGAAAACATGCTGTCCTGTTTGCTGGCTTGTCCCAGAAACAAAGGGGAAACCATGCTGTTCAAGGCTCCCCAAGCACCAGCCTCAGCCCTGCTCTGTTGGAGTGGTGTCCCCACCTACAGGGCTCACACAAAAAGGAACTTTTTCTTGGATGCCGGGTAGCTTCCTAAGAGAAAAATAAATTGAAAAATCGTATGAGATTTTGAGGTTCTTCAAGAAGAGGACAGAGAGAACGTAGCAACAGTGGCTACACTGATAAATTTCCCATTTCCTGACACGGGCTGGGAAGGAGGGACCCCTGCAGTAGCAGAACTGGAGGTGGCAGACAGGCCAGCTCAGCAGGCACATGGCAGTGCAAACACAGCTGGCAAGCACAAGCTGCCTGTGGCCCTAAGGCAAGATAAACCTGCAGATTCTCAGCCTGAAGGTGTTCTTTCCTATTAGCAAAATGCCTGTCATCGTTGTGCCACATCCCTCTCTGAGGAGCTGCCAAAAGCTGCACTTTTTTCCAGGTGTTACCTACATTGTTAATTACTGGGGGCAAGGTGTGGCCCCAGTTGAAAATGGGGAGGCTGTGGAGTGAGAGATGTGGGGACAGGGCACAACTGTGGGCTGGGAATGTAGGGAAGTGGTTGGGAAAGGGCCAGCTTTTAACTGAGCTGCTGAAATCCTTCCCCCTCTCCCCATCAACAGAATGAAATTGGGAGTTCTGCTGTCCAAGATAATACTTTGTTTTGCTCTGGTGTATGGACAGGTGTGGGATCTGCTGGTGGAACCCCGTGCAGGAATTCAAGGAATGTAAGAGGTGCGTCAGCTGGTGTGTCCTGTCTGACCCCAGACAAGGCAGGTCCTTGTGTGGGGAGAGCTCAG